TTTATGTTACGATATTATGTCTGCATTATAAGTCCGTCAGTCATATCAACCATCAAATTTCTTATTAATAAATGATACTACACATAATCGCGACCACCCGGTTATACCAGTGAATTGATTTGACACATCCCTGATACTTATCGATAAAAACATCGAATAATTCAGTATTATATCGGTATAATACTGGATTATGAATCGTTATGACCTTAAATATTTCATTTGTATGCATGTCAAGGTCATTCAAATGATATTAAATTAGCTGTAGAACCTGTCGCGGCATTTGACATTATTAATCGTATGCCAAAGCTCGTTTTTTAATTTATTCGATGGAGTATTCGATTGAATGCAAGATTAATTCACCGAATAAGCAATTATGCAAGTTCATTGAACTTTTTGGTAGTGCAGTTGGATTTCTCAAGGTATTTTTCTTTATTTTTGTCACCGCAGAGGTGTTAATTGTATCAAATTTTCGCCAGGTGTGTTGTTGTTATTGGCTCCGTTTCACAGAGTGCAAATCTTACAACACGCTACTCATTGATCGACATTTTATTTTTGGAATCCACTATCTAATGAAGATAATTTTTCTTTTGTAACTTTTTCTTTTTACCTTTGACACGTGAAACATAAATATTACTTCTTTATTTGTGGACATAAATCAAGACAGTTAAAAAATCTAGTCATGTGCTTTCAATCAATGAGGAGTAAAAATGGCTGACAACGGGAAATATAATTGTCCATCTCACAAAATCAAACTAATTAACATAACAGATTAACAATTTGCTTGTTAACAATATGGAGGATAATAATAAACAAATCTCAAAAGAATGTGGTGTAATGTTGATTCGGATTTAAAATCAAACAATTATAATACCGATCGATAGATTACAAGGCAATAAAGATAGATTGCTTCGTTGGACCGCACTCTATCTCAAGATAAGGACGGGAATAAGTACGAAGGTGTGTGGAAAAGCATTAATGGTTCCGTACATCGATTTATGCCGATAGAATTTACCGGTGCTAGTGGTTGGGTCGTCGAGGTCAGGCGGGAGTCGATACGTGTAAAATACGGGCGTTCAGTTGCTTCCACTGGATTGCAACTGCTACCATGTTCCTCTAGGGATATTAGCTCCTTAATTTAGGAATTTATGTGATCATCATTTTTTGAAACATTTCTGGTATATTTGTCATCTTTTTTCAATGTTGTAATATTAGGAGCAAACTCTTTTTCTATAGACTGAGTTTCGGTTCAAATCCAAAGGTCTCCTTATCTTTTCTGGCCATTTATCTTCTATTCATGACTTATAGAGGTAGTATCTCGGTCTTTAACATAGGTTTAAAATAACTCAAATAATTTTTCACAGCAAGGAGTAGAGAACTCTAAAAATTTACAATTCAGATGCATAGAAAGCTTATTGTAATCGAATGTATCGTATGAATCTCTTGTTATCTTAACGCGTTTGTTGACGCAATAACGACTTGAATAAGTTGAGATAATACTGACGTGATTTCTTGAAACAAGTGCCTATTAAATGCTGAACATGTCAGTGAACTTAAAGTTGAAATTACCGTGAAAAATAAACGTATCCAAAATAGCATGCTAAAAAGCTTTCTATTGAGCATGCTCAAAACTGTTCAAAAAGCGAACGTCTGTCAAAATTCGCAAACATGCCTAAACTGAGCATGCTAATTTTAAGCAACATTCCGACACACATGCTACTAAGTGACCAGTGCTTAATTGAATTTTAGGGAACAGATAGTATAGTTCCCTAAGATCGGAAAAGGAGGATTCTCCGACCAGGCGAGGTGATCGTGCCTGGCGGGCTTTCTGCCCAGCACTTGTTTTTTGGGATTTTCTATCCGTGTTAATTTGCATGTAAACTTTGTATGTGCGATGTAGGATTTTTGTGACGTCATCCGTTGATTTGTGACATGTGTCCCCACAGAATCATGCTTTCGTGCTTGAGTTTAGTATGTATAACAGTACCATGAAGGATAATAACTATGAGGATTTGTGAAAACAATACATAGGAAAACTGTACTACTTCATGGACATTTGAACTCGACATTGAAAATTAATTATAATATAATTAATATATTATAATTATAATATTATGAAAACTTCAAACACAATGTATATTGTTCATGAATAAATAAATAAATAAATAAATAAAATTTAGGGGAATCATGATAAGCAAAACCAATCAATCCATATCAATCACTCATCTTACAAATGACATCATTGAATGATTGACAAGCACAAAAGTAGAAAATGATGATCGTAATCTAATAATCATACATTTAACAGCTGCAGAAGACAAAAACTTTGATGATTTATTCCTTCTGATGCTATATTGATAGAAGTGCGTTTCTAATGGTTCTAAATTCATTGTAATGCCTATTTGATACGGTCGTCAAAATCGTGATGGGATTCGCTTTTGTTGTGTATTTCGGTAACACGCTGTTGTCAAGTGCCAAGTAAATAGATCTCAATTCTCAATTATCTTTTTTATGTGATTTTTTTCGTCTTCGTCTTTGTTATGACTGCCTTGTTGGTTTGGTTGTAAGTGATTGAGTTTCGGTGAGTTGAGTAAAGTGTTATTGATTTTGTTGATTTCGAAATTGTCAGCTACGGCAAAAGGCCTAGAATTCACTTTGGTACCCGTTGCCACATCCATTTATAACAACTGATGAAAAGCGTGTTTGTTACGACCTTTTTGGGTAGAAGCAAATGTAGTGTTATGTCTATATTCAGATAAAAATGGTATGGTCAGCTTATTATATAGTATTGTATGAATACAAATTGTATTTCTAAATCTAGGATTGAACCAAACCTAAAGTTCAATGCTACCAATTAGCTGTAGATGGCAAAATAAGAAGGGGATCCAACTTGTACCCATTTGCAATTTCAAACCATTGTCGGCGGATTTCTCGGTCCATTCAATTACATAAAACAGGTTGACAAATTGATACTAGATTGTGTTAGTGGATTGCTTGATACTATTAACTATGGAGAAAGCTATTTCAGCTTAGAAGACTGTATTTAAGGAAACGGTGATAACGAGGAAACTGTTTCTTAAACTTTCGTCTGTGTGAAGACAATTTTATTATTTAATTTGTTGCAAAAGTATTCAATAATTCATTGTGTGATTGTTGCTTATTCTTTGTAATAAGTCTTCAAAATTTTGCTCACAAATACAAATACATGACCCGGTTTGCTACATTGCAATCATGGACATTCACAATCAGATTCAATCATTACTCCACACGATTCGATCACGTCAAACTTCAAGTGGTATGAATCAATAAAATCATCAAATAATTGAGTATGTGGGACAAAAACGTCGTAAATTTTGCTATTGATAATATTGTTATGGACTTGAACTCATTTGATTGCTTATATAAAAATTCATATTAAAAAAGGGGTTAATTTTAAAGGTTAGGAAGATCCATATTCAGTTATCAGTGAAGAAACAATTTTTAACGCACGTTAAAGTCAATTTGATCAGAGTAAAATGAGCCGAAAGGTGAAAAGAAAGCGCTTTCTAATTCCCAAAGTCTTTGACTTTTTCATGAATGTTTTATTCATGAAAAAGTCAAAGACTTTGGGAAAGTAGTCGTTGATACAGATATTAATTCATCAACCAAAACGAATGAATTTAGAGAAAATCATAATAGAAATGAGGTAAAGGAAATATCAGCTGCAGTGTTATCAAGCAAGTGTTTGAAAGTGAACAAGACTGAATCGAATAGGAAAATTTAGATAGCTTCGTTAGAAGTTAGAGTCAGTGCAGGTCTACAAATAAAGACAGTTACTTACTCCTTATCTTTGAGTGGTCGCCTGCCGCAATGGCGATCGGATCGCATGTAAATGTTGAAAGTCCGACAGATTGTCGACCTACAAATTTACCGATCAGTAGCTATACGTTATCGACTTTCCTTGGCAACGATCTCCCTATAAATTGTATTTAAATGTATTTTTTTATTTTTGTTCAACCTCAAAATGTTTTGATACAATACTTCGTGTTTAATCTTGTCATCGGCTTTTAATAAATATCTAATAATCTACTCTTTGTTTTACTTAAATAAAAATGTAAATGAAATTGTTGCCAATACCTAATTGTGGCATGCCTATGCAAATAAATATGTGTAATACACGCTTTGAATGTTATTTCTACTAAAATTTGTACTGTGTATCGCTATCAACGATACCTGCTGCTAATGTGTATCGGCTATTAGACTTTGACATGACATTATAATTGGCTTTGCTGCAGCATACGGTTGGTTATCCTCAACGTCTGACGCAGTGACACCTTCAACTTGCACTAATAAATGCAAAAGGTCATCTGATTCATTGTTTTTTATTCGTTCAGATTAGGATCTTAATCAAACACATTGTAGAGGTATTTAAACAGTAACTGTTTGTACTTCACACATTGTATCATGAGATATCGTTTTATTTGCCATCGCATCGCCAACAGACATAATGTCAGTCGTCATTTACATTGAAGATGCCTCAGTGATGTGTATTTTTTTCAATCTCAATCTTAAAATAAAACTCAGGTATACAACGATCAACTTGTCGCAGCTAATTCTCAAAAACCCATTTTAACTCAAATTCCTTACCACAAATGTCTAGACGTTATTAATTCTATTTACTGTGCCTGTTTTAAACAATTGTTCACGTGACGGTACAGTGTATCGGTTACCAATTTGTCCACCACACTCTATTATTAAACACACAATTATTTTGTTTCAGATCGTGTGAACAACCCGACTTGCGGCGCCTGTAAACTGAGAAGCTGTCAATAATATGGTGCAATAAAAGTAATATGAAGGTGTTGGGTATGATGCGTGTCAGAGTCAACCGAACTGATTTATAAATAAAGAAGGAAAGATTTGAATGAGACTGGGTGGTGGAAGTCGTGGGGAGTTGAGCGGGGTATGAGAGGCGGTGTTGTGCAGTGACGGCGTCCGGGCGGCTGCCATGGGCGCGGCGCGCCATGCGCTCGCGCACGCGCCCGCTGCGGCTGCTCCTGGCGGCGCTCGCGCTCGCATCCTGCGCCGCGGCCCCCGCGCCCGAGCCGCGCGCGCAGCGCTCCGCCAACCTGAGCCACATAACTGGCACCTCCCGCACCATACAGATGTTCCTCAAGAATCGTTATCTGCAGCTGCTGCCGGATGGCACAGTCAACGGCACCACAGATTACAACAGCGTTTACAGTGAGTACTCTTTACATTCATTTACGTAGTTTAACTTATTAGGGTAATTTATACAGGTGGAGACATACAATACAGCATTTTCTCTTCTTTTGGAAAAGAGTTAACAAACTGTTTCAGTCAGCAGACACTTAACAAGATTTCTATAACTAAGCAAGCTTCCTGATTGAAACTGCTCCATTACATTAAAGGCTATTTCACAACACCGAAAGTTTGTGCTTCACAGTTTTTTGTTTCGCCTCATGCTGATGGCACGTACTATCGAGATCACAGCGGTACATTGACAGTGCTCCCAATTATACCAATTGAATTTTTTATTTCTTTTGATTCACTAGAGTTTTATGTCTATTTGCTGTTTGAGTTTGCACGTGCCTACAACATTAGTATGACGGAATATCGCAAAAAAGTTATTGTATTATGATAATTAGCAATACGTTATTTGGCAAATGGAAGTAATGACTTCGGTTGAGAGAGGGTTACGTTTGCCATTGGTGAAACGGTTGTGGCGTGATGCTGCGTATTCTTTGTGTCATTACTCCATTTATTCATTTCTCCGTATCGCGTATAGCAATGATTACTATTCATATCTACATATAGTTGCTAACTTGTTGTGTAATGAACACTTTCTCATACATACTAACGACTCCTACTTTCATGCAATCTTGTATGGAGGTCCTTGATCCTGTACATTTAAATTATGAGATACTTGTGACATAAAAAGGTGGTGTATATTACACGCTTTTCATTATTCAGTGTGTTTAAAACATTAAAATGAGTGCTACTCTATTACACTCGGTATTACGCAATCGTAGCCTTGACATAAAGTCTTTTGTATTTTTACTATCAATAAAAATGTACGTCTAGCCTTGTTTAGCGTAGTTTCAGTTTTATTATGTTATGTCTGTGAGGTGTAAGATATAATATCCCGTATAGGTATATGAAAAAGAAGTACGTATTATAAATGGATTTGTAAGATTTTGCTTCAAAATTACTGAAGTAATTTTGATAACATTTGGTGCAGAGACAGATGACGGTTGTTATCATCTCTTGGTCTTAGATAGCCACTTATTCCACATTTGCACTAAACCCTTAATTAAACCTAAGCCTTTTTTCTGTTCATATAATGTCACTTCATTATTTTCAACGTTCATTTTCTTTGGAAAACACTCATCTTTCAACAGGTACATCTAATGTCCGTCATTCAATAATTCAATTGAATGTGTATTCTTAAACAAATTGCCGGTAACATCAATGCTTTGGTAATATACCCTTATTTGGTGATTTTTCCATATATGTAAAAGAGCCTGTACATAAATATTAAGCAACATACTTAGGCTAAGTACCTTGGTGTGGCAAGACATGTACACAATATGTCGTTAAAGCGGAATTATTTCTAATAACTCTGGGATCCTGTTACTTAACTACAGAATATTGTTTTGAAAATGTACGTTAAAAAATCTGTTCAGTATGATTGATGATTGATTCTGATTGATTGACCTGTAGCTATAGTACTGTTTTAGTTAATTCAACCAAAAATGTATGAGATGGACTAGACATAGAACTGAAAAAAAAATTGTAGTAAGTAGAATCGTTCGTGAGAAATACTGAATTAACGAAAAATTACGAGTTACGTAAATATATTGAGAAAAGCTCTACTAGTTTCGAGTTACGGAGGGAGTCTTCCTCATGAGCAGCGTACGTTATCGCGGCAACACGTCCTGTACCTGTAGAGATAGGTCTGGCAGAAGCCAGCAGTAGTTAAGGCTATTCTCCTCCTTGTTGTTTTGAAATCGGTTACAAAAACAATTCTATTTAGAAAGTTTTATTGCAAACAAATAAATTAGGACGCAATGATTGAAATTGTATGCTACTCAATTACAAATGCTAGAAACTAAAGACTAGTTAGACATCTATTAAGCTGTCTAAACCTGCAGGGTATTGGCAGAATAATATCTGTACAATACATTCAATAAATAAACTTTCGAGCTCCGAAAGCATTCATAATGCAAATACGACGTGTAAAATTATTATAGAAATAAGTTTTATGTGGCCAATATGGCTACTTAACAAATTATATTTTATATATAACTAGCTTTTACCCGCGGCTTCGCTCGCGTCACAAAAGGATAAAAAGTAGCCTATGTGACATATACCAATACACACAGCGCACAGCGCCACCTATACCAATTCTTTTGTGTTCCCTCGGGAATATCAAAATTTTCCGGGATAAAAAGTACCGTATTATTTAATCCGGACTTCTAACTTTACGTCTGTAAAAATTCAAAGCAATCGGTTTAGTAGTTACGACGTGAAAGTGGAACAAACAAGCAAACAAACTCACTTTCCGATTTATAATATTAGTAATAAAATAATATAACTGTTCATAATACTCCTTATAAAATTTTAGAGGTATAGGATCATACAGTGCCTACGACGTTGAGGACATAATGTCACTTAGACATGACTGAAGCACCAAAATGTCAGTAGTTTATTTATGTGTGCATGTGTAATGGGGTACCACGTTACCAGACTTAAGAAAATGACAGATGTCCTTCGTGTCAATGTGTTAATGCTCTGCGTGTAAGTTTATAGTAGCCAGGTGCCACAGTCGTTGTTTCAAGAGACTGTCAGCTTTTTTTCAATGTCCTTGCATAGTACCTAATGTAGGAATATAAAAACACTAATATAGGAACGCCTTGCAAATTTTTTAATGTAATTTATATAATATTTCTGCAATAGTCTTAATTATAGAGACCTCAATGTTGAGTTTACTAAATTTAAGTTACAATAGGTATAAAGAAATTATTATTTGTTTTTATTGGTAGCAGAATTTGAATTAGGTGTTTTAAGTGGACACGCCTTTGCTCTAAATTTTCAGAATTGATGATACAGATTTAAATATAGGCCCAATCAACGCCATGACAGGCAACTGTTGCTTTTTTGTACACAACGTATATTACTATATGAGTTTTTGTCAATGTTTTTGCTCACACAACCGTTCTGAACTATACTTATGCAAACCAGACGTCTCCTAGACGTAAGTTATACACCACGAACCAGTTTAAGACCAATGACATAAATCAGGGCTGTCCTATTTTTTCTAACGGCATTTAATGAAAACGGTTTAATTACATGTCCTCATAGACACTCAAATAGTCTTGTAATAACACCATAGATGTTAATAGCACTCTTAATCTAGACCGTAATTACATATTTTGGTATTCACAATCAGTTAAACGAAATTGTGATAATGGCTCAATAGAACATTTCAAATGCCCGAAGCGTAAACCGAGGTGGTCTCGTAGATTGAGATCGTAAAAGTCTAATAACAACTTTATGAACTTCGAATTGAGATTTCGTACTTCGATAGCAGACAATTTCTATCAAATGGATTGGTTTGGTATGCGATATCGTGGTGTTTGTTTTTACCGATAAGTATGTTAGTTTCGTAACCGTAAGTGAGCCGAAATTAATGTAAAGATTGCCTGTTGACGTGTTCTTCAAGTTGTGAGATTAAGGCCGCCAGTTCTCGCCACCTGATTGTAAAATATTACACACGTTTGATTTTGTTTATCGCGCCGATTAACCCGAAAGCCGTTTATGGTCGCTTTTATGTTAAACTAACGGAGATTAGGTTAATTTTTTCGTTTATATGTGAACCTCAAATTAATATAAAAATTGTTGTGCTGTTTGGAATAAATTAAATGTTATATTTCTTTCTTTAAAACATTTCAAAAATACAGCCGTTAGGTTTTAAAAATGCAGTTATAATATTAAAAAACTTTGAAGTTTAAAAGACTCTTCGGTATCGCTTAATGTCCATCGCAACACGTAATACCGACCATGAGCGACCGCGATCAAAATTATATTATATGCAAAAAGTGATCTTCTTGAAACACACAATAAAATAAGAATGTTTTAAGATCTCCTGCAGGCGAATTAACTTAAAGAAATAATTAATGAAAAAAAAATATTGCATTCTTAATGACTTAGGTATATGTTGATAATTTTTTGAAAGTCGTAAAGTACCAATAAAATTATTATGAAATATTGAATTGCATTTATTATTTTTATTGTTAATTGGGTAGTTGCCAGGGTATCAAAATTAAAAATCTAATTAGTCTGTCAGTTATAATGAAAAAATATTAGACACGTATTTTTTATTTTCTCGTATTAAGTTGTAATACTTAGATAAAATGGCGCTAAGTTTAGGAGTGCCACGCTGTGACTTCACACGATATTTCAAATTAATATATCGTCGAAAGTATTTAATTTTGTGGGAAAAGAAAAAATACGTGTCTAAAGTTTTAAATTAATGTACTAGACGGACATTAAAATAAAATTTAGAAAACTACCCTATTTAGGCCAAAATGGAATGATCTGCTTAAATTATACACTTTTTTATACCACACACAGACCTTACCTGCCTACAGAACATTGACGATCAACACCGTTTCTAGAAATTAAAGAAAATAAAAATTTTCACGCCGTCTTATTACAAAAAAATGTAAAACGATACGTTCTGTTATAAATTGGAAACCGTAGCAAATGGTTAGTTATCGAATGTCTTAATTATTCGTAAACTGACGGGGTCAATGAACACAGTGATTGTGGTTTTAGAAGTAAAAAATACACACATACACAAAAATTGTGATATTTCCACCTGGCTGTGTTCTATGTACACTATCGTGTACAGTAAGCGTTCAAAGTAAGTGTCACGAATGTTAGGTAGAAACTAATGATAAAAATTAAGTAGTTAGTATATTTATTAGGGAGTAAAAAGTACATTATTAATAACTATTATTTGACGACATAAACTTTTTTGACATAATTTTAGACATCATTGAAATACGTAACATAACATAACATCAAGCCTTTTATCCCCAAAGGGGTAGGCAGAGGTGCACATTATGCCAATGTACAATGTAACACCCACTTTTCACTATTTATGTTATGAGTCCCATGTAATAGGAGGTAAGCCTATTGCCATATATCAGGCACAATTCCAGCCTCCGTGCTACTACTGAGATTTATTTAAAACCACGACCTGGGAATAGAACCCGAGACCCCATGCCCGGCAGTCGCACTTGCGACCACTCGGCCAACGAGGCAGTACAAAATAAATAATAGAGTAAAATAGTTACAGAATGTATGCAAATGACAAATGTACTTTCATTACATAATCGCAGAAGTTCACGCCTTATACATTGGAAATACCGCGGAGAACCTAACGGGTTACCGTTGCTCCGGCTCGACGTGCATGAGAAGGAACGGGGTGGTTTTTTCTTAAAAAAAATATTAGAGATGACTATATCACAGATATCATAATTGGCCACCCAACACTGAGCACGTATATTTATAAGCGTCTAAAATGTAATTCACCGTAGCACCCGACTTTGTCAAGCTCAAATATTAATAATT